AACTAAACATAACACTATATATGTACGAATATTCAAGATGGCGACGAATTGGTCCAAGTCATTCCATTTGGCAAACCTGGCCACATACGGAACATTTTTCATGACCAACTTTTTTCCTTTCTACACTATCGAGATAACTCTTCTTACTCTTCCTTCATGGGCTTAGGGCTTAAACCACCTATTGTAGATTGGCACTAATGCTTATGGTTATGCGCTTATGCAAAGGTTGTGCTCGGGCCCTTTTTCTAGGCTAGATATCTTCCAATAAGAGACTGGCCATAAGAGGGCCACTTTTGATTGGTCCGGCATTTTTCGTCAACTCCCGCTCATATTCAAATTTCAATTACTCTATTTATTTTAAATGTAAATAATATTAAATGATAAATATTATAGAAATAGACTAAAAACTAGTTTTTATATTAATTTAAATAATTTATGTTAAATAATTTTTTACATTTAATATTTTCTCTTAATTCTATAAAAAAAAAGTGATATACAAAAAGAGATGATATAAAAGAAGTAATAAGACATAAATAAGTTTCAATATAGAAATAAAAGATAAAAGACAAGATTTATAACATCATTTTTAATTAAATTAATAATACATTTTTGATTAATTTTATTAAAAAGCCCGTATCAGACTACGCTTGAAGATTGAAACCTGGCCACATACGGAACATTTTTCATGACCAACTTTTTTCCTTTCTACACTATCGAGATAACTCTTCTTACTCTTCCTTCATGGGCTTAGGGCTTAAACCACCTATTGTAGATTGGCACTAATGCTTATGGTTATGCGCTTATGCAAAGGTTGTGCTCGGGCCCTTTTTCTAGGCTAGATATCTTCCAATAAGAGACTGGCCATAAGAGGGCCACTTTTGATTGGTCCGCCATTTTTCGTCAACTCCCGCTCATATTCAAATTTCAATTACTCTATTTATTTTAAATGTAAATAATATTAAATGATAAATATTATAGAAATAGACTAAAAACTAGTTTTTATATTAATTTAAATAATTTATGTTAAATAATTTTTTACATTTAATATTTTCTCTTAATTCTATAAAAAAAAAGTGATATACAAAAAGAGATGATATAAAAGAAGTAATAAGACATAAATAAGTTTCAATATAGAAATAAAAGATAAAAGACAAGATTTATAACATCATTTTTAATTAAATTAATAATACATTTTTGATTAATTTTATTAAAAAGCCCGTATCAGACTACGCTTGAAGATTGAGATTCAAGATTCAAGATTGAAATTTGACCAATCAAGGCAAAGAAATTTTAGTCTTTTTTGTTCTGATTAGTCAAATTCCAATCTTTAATCTTCAATTTCCAACGTTACATTACGCATTTTTTGAAAATAAGAACCGTATATAATGTCTAAAAATATTTTCTAATTGTAAGAAAACTTGAGATGTTGGCTTATTAATAAAATAAAGAGTATTTGTATTGTAACATTTAATTCTTACAAGTTCAGAAAATTGAAAATTTTGAGATTTTTTAGAACCAACTGATTGCACGCAAATGGAGCATGTGATGTATGTTTTTTTAATAGATGCCAAACAATATCCTGCAACATTATATAAACAATTCATCATTTCTATATTACTGTATTCTTTTATTGCACTATTATCTAAAGAAGGAATTTGATCTATGATTATGTAGGAGATGCATTAGATACAGAAGAATAAAGTATATCTTTTTTAGATTTTAAATATTCTAAGAAACGAGAAAGATATTCACTATTATCGGTTTCATAATTTCCTGTCAATATTCGTCCTCAGGATCATCCTGAATATGTCCAGGATAGTTCAGGACATTTATAGGATGTTTTAAGATATTATTATAAATATATTTTATGAAAATTTTTTTTGCGCAAACGAATTAAATGGAGTTGCATTTTTTTGTTTATTTTTTCTAACTTTTTATTTTTCTCTTTTACATTAATTTCAATTTTATCTGAAGTACATGCTGTATTGATTATTATTGATGATGTATTAGGGGGAAGTTAAACAGTTTCATTTATTATCTAAAAGAAATATACAGGGTGTCCCATTTTAATTGTGCACCCCGATTAACATCGCAGAAAGTGGTCGGATGAAAAAATGTTTTAGACAAAAGTTGTTGGGTTTTGAGGGGATCACATGATAAAAATATAGACTTGACCTTGAGTGACCTTTTCAAGGTGAGGTCAATGTGATCAATGTTCTTTTAAATGGAACACCCCATTTTTTATTGCAATGTATTTTTTTAAACAATTATTTGTTTTTTTTACCTATTTTTGATTTAAAACTAAAATTTGATTTGGGTTAGGTTAGGTTATATCTTCCGTAAGTGGAGCCCCCCCGTAGGGGTGCGAAACCCACTGTGCCCACGCATATACTTTACAACGCAAAGCGAGATTCACCCCACAATTGTTGTGTGCATGGGAAAGTGTACGCATGGACGCAGTGGGTTCTGCCCCCCCCCCCCTACAGGGGGCTCCACTTCCGGAAGATATAACCTAACCCAAACCTATTTCTGATTTAAAATTAAAATTTGGTTTGGGTTAGGTTATATCTTCCGAAAGTGAAGGGGGGCGGAACCCACTGCGCCCACGCATGCACTTTGCAAGACGAAGAATTTGAACGATTAAACCCATAGACATATAGAATGGACTGAGCGTTGCTATAGACAAACGCGCGCTCGCTGTAGAAAGAAAGATACTACATGGGAGGCCTATTTTGTCTCTTTTCCTAGCATCTCATTGGTGATTTTGTCCCCCTCCATATAGAAAATCACCAATGAGATGCTAGGAAAAGAGACAAACATAGACCTCCCATATAGTACTTCCTTTTCTAGAGCGAGTGCGCGTTTGTCTATCTCGCAATGCTCAATCCAGTCTATATATCTATGATTAAACCAGACTGATCAAAATACGCACGTCATCATTTTTGCATTTAATACTTGTTCTTATCGTATAATTTGATTTTTAATAACTTTGTAATAAATAACGAGCGACGGCTAAAATCTTTTGGAGGTTACTCAGGGTTATGACCTTGACAACATATGTCAAGGTCAAGGTCATTGGAGCTGGGTCGGTTATTATGCACTTTTACCAAAATTTTTAATAACTACATTAAAATTATACTAAAGTAACGTCGCATAAGATGGAATTATAATTACATGATAATTTTGTATATAAAATTTATATATGTATATATATGTATAAAATATAACATTATATATATTGGAATAAAATGTACTAAAAAACGCGATCTTGGTATCCGCTATCGGCCATACTGGAACTCGGCTTAGTTGGTCCTCCAGGTACTTGATGGTGCGGATGACGCATGTGACCAGGTCGTCTCGGCGGTGCCAGATATTCAAACATGCTCTGAGTGTGCTGTGCTAGCATTTTACTGAGATCGCATGGCATTGGATCAGTCCAGAAAAAATCGTGATTGAGGGCCGAGTCAGAATCGCATCTTTTGCTAGGATCGAGAATTAAAAGTTTGTCCAGCAAGTCGCAGGCGTAAGGGTCTTTCAGATATGGCTTTAATCTATCCTTCACCTATATAAAATCATATTAAAATTACAGAAATTTATTAAAATAAAAATTATATAAAATTGAAAACATAGGCCCTTATTCTAAACTCACATTTAGAGTGCCACATTTAAAGATGCAGATAAATGTACTAGTAATACGACTAAAATCAGTTATATTCTCATCGCACATTTATAGCACCTTTAACTTAGAGATACATTTATGACTATCGTGTTGTATATTATGCTTATTACGCGCATACGGCACTGTGATTGACCGTCAAACAGTTCATTATATCACGCGCTGAGTTAAATTAGTAAATTTCATTTCGATCTTTCTTTTAATGCCACTGCAACACAAAACGCAAACGACAAATATTTTTGTCGGAACTTGCGATCATTATAATATTCAAAAACATCTATTTTATTTCAAAACCCACGGGCCACGATTACTCACTGCATTTACTTCCCAAATTTCGATCGTATGATCAATGGCCTTAGTTCACACCAATATATTTTAATATATAAAATAAATACTATACTATCCAATCACAGCCGTTCCATTCTTAAAGAGGAATGGCTATGATTGGCCAGTGTAGTA